TAATATAAATCAATTACACAAACATTTATGGATTTTAGTACTTAGGGAAATACAACACGAGCATAGGTACGTCGAGCGAAATAATCCAAACAAGGAAACCCTCATGTATATACCTTGTATCTCAAATTGTAGATCCCTAAATATTAAACCCGAGGTTGGTCATAAGAATTAAATAAAGAAAAGAATACATACTCATCGCTACCAATAAAGTGTAAACATGACAAAACTACAATAGGTGTCATGCACAACCTGGGTAGCTATCATGTCCCAGCCTAATACAATATATCATGTACCCAACTTGATTACGTAACATGCTCAAGGTTTAGCAAAAGTCTTATATATATATATATATATATATATATATATATATATACATACATATATATATCTACATATATATATATACAGCAGATGATTTAAACAGAAGCACGAACGAAAACAGATAGAAAAATACTGCGATGAGTCGACTCGTGCTCAATATGAGTCGACTCAGCAGAACACAAATAATAGCAGGTAAGGACTTCATGAGTCGACTCATGACAGCCATGGGTCGACTCATGACTTACGGGTCGACTCGTATACTGACGAGTCGACTCAGCAGAAACAAAAAGACAACACGACTAGACTTCGTGAGTCGACTCATGACAGTCATGGGTCGACTCAACCTGTTGAGTCGACTCATGATGAGCCGTGGGTCGACTCACGGGCTGAACAAAGCATTTCTCCCAACTGTAACTTGTTCAACACGATCCACACTTCCAATTTTCTGATCTACACTTCTATAGCCATCAATTCTCGACTATAAACAGTGAGAAAAACATATTTATTATGAGAAACGATTTTCTTGTAGGTTAAATCTAACATTTAACTCCTATACATGAAAGAAAGCATTTAATCAAAATAAAACTCACATTTTTATTCTTTAAATAAAATTCCAGATCTGGGTTTTCATGAAAAACTTGTTAGTGGGGGTTTAAAAATCCGAAATACATGATCTCTAGCATTAACCCTAACAAAGATGTTGATTTATACTTGAAAATAAGTCTTAGGCTCAATAAAACTTATGGAAAACAGTTGTAAACAATTAGAAACATGGGAGAAGGATTGGGAGAGATGTTACTCGCCTCAAAAGTGATGATGAACAATCCCCTTCGCTGCAATCCACGAAAAGCCGCTGAAAATTCCCAAAAATCGCCCAAGAAATCCTAAAAACGAGCTAGGGTTTAGAGGAGGAGAAGAGGCTAGGGTTTCTCTAGGGTTTTCTGATGAACAAGAGTGTTTTCGGGTGGGGAGAAACATATATGAGTAGAAAACCCGACTCGAAACCCAAACAAACCCGACTCAGAAAACCAGAAAAACCCCGATGAGTCGACTCACGGCAGTCGTGGGTCGACTCATGACTCATGGGTCGACTCATGATATAATGAGTCGACTCAGCAGAGACTAAATAACAACAGGACTCGATTTCGTGAGTCGACTCATGACAGTCATGGGTCGACTCATGGACTAGAAACTGCATACTCTGACTCTGCTGCATATGATTGAAATCTAGCACACTCAACCTCATTACTGATGTACATATACATACTCAAAATTCTACGGGGTCTTACATTTTTTCCCCCTTAAAAGAATTTCGTCCTCGAAATTCAGGAAATCACATCTAACTCATAAAGATACTTGAAAACATGACAAGGGTCTAATCTAACCCCGCACACATATACATTTCGCAATAATGAATGCTAGTTAGCACATAGCGACATTCATACTTAACGATCTAAAATAATAATATTCTTACTTAACCCCAAATCTAACGGAACTAGTACGTCGGGCGAAAAATCCAAACAAGGAACCCCCCATGTATATACCATGTGTTCCGTAAGATTAAGAATTAAGTAAAAATACCCTCATTCTAGTGTTAAATATAAGTATCAACATATATAGATATAAATATACAAGTAAGAAGTCATATAATAAATATTTTAATTAGTTTTACCTTCTCGAACAAGTGTGGGTAGTCGCGTCGCATGTCCTCCTCGCACTCCCAAGAAGCTTCCTCAACTCCACTTCTGTTCCATTGAACTTTCACCAATGGAATCACCTTGTTCCTGAGTCTCTTGACTTCTCTAGCAAGTATGGACACTGGGATCTCAATAGTCGATAAATCATCCCGAAGCTCAATCTCCGGTGCATCCAACACTCGCTGCCGCTCCTCATCATGCAAGTGCTTCTTGAGCATAGAAATATGAAATACATTGTGTATACTAGACATAGAAGCTGGAAGATCTAGTCTGTATGACACAGCTCCAATGCGCTCCAAAATCCGGAATGGTCCAATGTATCTCGGTGCAAGTTTCCCTCGCCTCCCGAATCGCTGTACGCCTTTCATAGGCGATACCTTCAGCATGACCAAATCCCCAATCTGAAACTCTAGGGGTCTTCGCCTCTTATCTGCATAACTCTTCTGCCGACTCTGAGCGGCTAGAATTCGCTCTCTGATCAACGCTACCTTCTCGGTAGTTTGCCTCACAAGCTCTGGTCCAAGCATCAAACTATCCTCAGGCTCTGCCCAACATATCGGTGATCTACAAGGTCTCCCGTACAGTGCCTCATACGGAGTCATACCGATAGTCGCTTGATAACTATTGTTATAAGCGAACTCTATCAGTGAGATATGATCCTCCCAGCTGCCTTGGAAATCAATGACACATGCTCGCAACATGTCCTCCAACACTTGGTTCACCCTCTCCGTCTGACCATCTGTCTGTGGGTGGAATACACTGCTATAAGATAGCTTGCTGCCAAATGAATCCTGAAAACTCCTCCAAAAATGCGAAGTGAAAACCGATCCTCGATCCGACACGATCGTATCCGGAACTCCGTGAAGTCGAACTATCTCTCAAATGAAAATTCTCACATACGCCTCAGCTGTATAAGTAGTCCTCACAGGAATAAAATATGTTGACTTCGTCAACCGGTCCACAATGACCCAAACTGAATCATTCCCCTTCTTCGACTTGGGCAACCCTACAATAAAGTCCATAGAAATGTCCGCACACTTCCATTCTGTGATAGGCAATGGCTGAAGTGTGCCTGCTGGTCTCTGGTGCTCCGCCTTTACCTGCTGGCAGGTAAAACACTTCGCCACATACTCTGAAATCTCCCTGCACATACCACTCCACCAAAAGTGCCTCTTCAGGTCCTTGTACATCTTTGTGGTCCCTGGATGTACTGTGTAGGTCCTTGTACATCTTTGTGGTCCCTGGATGTACTGTGTATCGAGTACGGTGTGCCTCATCAAACAATTTCCTCTTCAGCTCTGCACTGGCTGGCATAACCAATCTACCCTTCATCCGTAGACCTCCATCTACTCCAATGGTCCAATCGGCCTTAGGCTCTTTGGAAATCTCCTCCTTACGGATTTGAATCCAAGAGTCCTCTAACTGAGCTCTAACAACTCTGCCGCTCCAAGTTCCACTGATATAGCTCCCAAAAATACACTAGTGCCACCAAACTCAGGTCTAAAATCAAACTGGCTAA